CATCGCTCAACTGGTTTCCTCTGCTTAGTTGCAACAGCGAAGAGTAGTGAAAGGTAAAAACTGGGAGCGGCGGTGAGAAAGCAAAAACGAAGAAGAATGAGAGAGGTATGCGGCTGTGAGGGTATTCTTGTAGTACTTTTTGGCGCGGGAATGAATTAATAGAATTCCAAAAATTTACAGGGCAATTTAAGGCGGGGAATTGTTTGTGCGTGGAAATATCGTGTTGGCGCCAAAGCTTCTAGCGCCTATCTTTTGATTGTTTGCTTTTTGCTTCTTGGATTCATTATTAGCGTACTGGTTAACTACGGAGTATTATTGGTTTAACTATTACTTCCTCCCTTCCACACTTTTTTTTTTTTGTGAATTCCGCAAAAGTAGATCAAAGTTGACTTTCGCGTAGATTAATAAAGTAAAAACGGTTAAATGGTCAAATAGATCCTCGAACTAACTAAAAAAGTACAATTCACCCCCTATATAAGAGATTCTGTGTGGACGTCGCCAATTGAGGCGGTTCTCACTGCGGAATTTTTTTGAACATCTACTTCATTAAGTGTAGTTTACACATACCAAATTTCAGATAAAAATTCAACCGGGAAGAATGTCAAATGATTTTCTGAAATATACTGCGTTGTTTAATTGCGCAGTTATCTTCAAAAATTTATTTGATTGTCTTCCCGATTGAATTTTTAGCTGAAGTTTGGTATGAGTAAACTAGACTTAATGAAGAAAATGCTAAAAAAAATTCATCAAAAAAATCCACCGGAAACCGTCCCAATTGACGATGTCCGGACAGAGCATCCTATATAAGGGGTGAAAATTGCACTTTTTAAGTTAGTTCAAGGGCCTATTTGATCCTTTAACCAAGTAAAAACTGTGTGGTTGAAATTTGTGCAGAGGAGAGAGAATTAACTTTATCCACATAGTCCTTACTTTAAATGAATATGACAAACCTTTTGGAACATTCAAAAAAAAAAATTTGGCCAACCTTTTCGGAACAGAGAAAGTATTTATTTATTTATGTATTTCAAAATCATTCATACATTATTAGATAGTTTTAATACTAATTTCGTCTCACTTAACATTGTCAAGTTGATGTTGAGTGTGAAAATAGACTAGTAAACGTTCTGGTTGAAGTTTGTACCGAATAATAAAAATAAATAAGACATAAATTCATTATTTTAAAATGAAAGTGACAAAGTTTGTTGAAACATGCTTTGACCGTTTAACAAAGTCCAAATGGATGGAGTGTAAAAGAAAAGTTGACAAAGTCCAGACGGATGGAGTGTTAACTATATCCCCAATGTAATTAAGTTCTTATTTTCTTTTTCCACGTGTGCCATAATCAAGTTATTACTTCTATTTGTGCTAGCATTTGAGTTTTAAAATACATTTTTGCCTCTTTGTAATTAGTTTTAAATTGTTAATTACTCTTTCATGTTCACAAAAAAAAAAAAAATTACTCTTTCATGCTTTTGAGAAAGAGTATACTAGGGCCGTCAATAAAAAAACGTATTTTATGTAAAAATTGGTAAAGTCAAAATTGTGAACTTAATTTATGGGGCAGATAAAGTGTATAATTCAACTTTTTTATGCATCTAACTTATTATAATATTTGTTTCAAAATAAATGTTAACATTCTTGACTAGAATGAAACTCAAACTTGTGACTTTCTCTTTAAAAGTTCACGGTGATGACATCATATGACAAAATAACTAATGTGTGTAATTAAACTTTCTTAAGTATAGTTTTCACTTTATAATGTTCAGAGAAGTTGTAAATGAAAATATTCATTGAAAATGTTACTTTATTTTAATCTAGAAGTTTTGATGTTGTGCCATTACTTCGTGCGTTGTAAACTTATAATTGTGGAGTGCTTTTTGAAGCAAAGATAAGTAAAGTACAATGAGTTCTCATGATGTTAAATTTCCAAAGTGAAAGTCACGGTTTGAGTTCATTCCAATTATAAACAATGATACTCCCTCCTTTTCACTAACAATGGGGAGTGAGTGACACACAAATCTATAAAAAGTGATTTATGTGGTTGATATTGAATTGGTAAAGTAAGAATAAAGTAAAAATGATTTAGAACCACACAAACTTTACCAAAATAAGATACGTGACAATCTTAGTGGGACAGACAGAAATGGTAAAATGAAACAATTTTAGCAGGACGGGGTAGTATTTATCTTTGAACAAGTATTGTACCCGTCATGTATGATTTGACTAAGAGATCATACAAGATAAAAAAATTAGAGAATGTGGGAAAATAAAATTTGGTCTTTATATCTGGTTGGGTATATTGAAATACCCGATCAATGTAACCAGATTTCAGCATTTCGTGCCTATTGTTGAGGATATACCCGGTCGGATATTAGATCCAACCAACTCATTACACTCATTTCCTTCTCATTTTATACCCATCATCCATCTCTTCTTTCATCTAGAGTTTATCCATGTAAATTAAGTAATCTTTTGAACTTGATTTTGCTACATTAAGAGCCCGTTTGGTAGAACCAAAATCGGTTGTTTTGGCTGATTCTGCTGAAATTTATGAAGTTCTGGCTGAACTGGCTGCATTGGCTGATTCTGCTGATTTAAGAAAAAAATGTTTTAAAATATAATTTTTATTAATAAAATAAAGAAAAAATTATATGTAAAAATAGCTAAAATAGTCATCTACAGTAATTTCAGCCAATACAGCCAAAAAAGTAACTCCAACCTTATTTTTTCTGCTTATTACATAATTCAGCGCGCACAATAAAAAATTACGTGTGTGGTGAAAAAGTTGGCTGATAAGCCTGACAAGCCGAAAAACATTGTTGCCAAACGACCTCTAAAGTTTGTGATTTGCAAGATGTGAGTTATCTCTTTAAGATCAATTAATTCTTTATTCATATTCCATAGTGATATTTGAACATATCTATATAAATATCAAATCCTCAACCCAACAACTTTTAATTCTCTATTTCAACCGAGTTTTATGAACACAAGTGATATTATATTATTATTCATCACTTACGTATGATCCAATCATCTTCAACATCTCCCTCACAAAGTCATCATCAACGCAGTACAGGTAGTAGCAACTTATCCGCCTTATCGTATTTCTTTGGCCATTTGACTTGCGAGTTGGTTTATACAAAACATTCACAAATACGATGCTTATTTCACACATTAAAAAATTTATGCCAAAATACAATTTTCTACCCAAAGCAAATTATCATACAATTTAAAAGTTTGAAAAAAGATTTAAAAGGATTGAAAACAGCATGCAAGTATAGTATAAGGACTGAAAACAGCAGGTTGTAAATATGTCCGATGATACGATCAGAGGCGGACCCAGGAAATCCGTCTTGGGGTTTCAAAATATTTTTTGGGGGCGAAAATTATTTTTTGTGGGGCAAAAATTATTTTTCGTGTATATATACCCTAGAATTTTGTTGTTGTTGGGGCGGTTGCCCCTCTGGGTCTGTACTACGGTCCGCCCCTGGATACAATCATATTGTCATTAACAAACAGTGGTGATTAAACTCCTGATGTTATACAAAGAGTGAGTTTCACGTCTGCAAACAAAGAGTGACACCTAGCAGGGGCGGATCCAGAAAATTCGACTATTGGGGGCACCAATTAAGTAGAAGTGAGAAAATTTCTAAAATGTACGTAGTATAAAATAACTTGGAAATATGGAAAAATCAGATGTTAGCATACTAGAAAATATATACTCTGTCAACAGAGTTTGAACAAGGATTAAGTTGTTTTATCATCAGTCAAACATCATAAAACGTAATAGGAACTTCTCTATGGGATAGAGGGAGTACATTACCACTTGAACTTTGTCTCGCATCCCCGCTTTGTTTGAATGGAGGCAATATTTTTGTTTTATAGGATCGTGTTGTCATTGTTTAATTTATACAAAGAAATTAAGTTTTAAAAATTATACTTCATTTACCCAAAATAATATGTTTAAATACTTAGGTTTAATCTGCCAAAACAAGAATCATAATCAATTAATAAATAAAAAATCAAATTCACACGACTCTGTAATTAAGATGTCATCGAAATTTAAAATTCTACGAACTAAATAACATACTCTAAAGTCTAAACACACAAGATAAATTAAATTTATAATTAAATTCTAAGAATCAAGATATGAAAACTCTAATTAACTAATAAAATCTGAAAAATCTAATTTGGAAACTCTAATTAATTAATCGATATCTGAAAACTCTAATCTGAAAACTCTAATCAATTAACAAAATAATGTAAAAGAATATATTAGTAAATTCCTAATAACTAATTACTTAGTTACGAAGTGAAATATGAAAAAAGAGATGGTTAGAAAATTCTAAGATTCATCGTTTTTGCTTGTTCAGTAGGCAACATTAATAGGGTGGATTTCTAAGAGATGCAGACATCTTAATATCCATGCTGCTACCGTAATCCCTATCCATTAATGAGTCTATTGACTATGGAATTAAACTTAGAAAAAGTGTAAGAACTTAAATCTAAAAAAGAATAAAGACTATGGACAGTATGACGCTATCACCTTATTAGAGCATTGGAGTCTTGGAATTAACTTAACAATGAGTGAGTGTCTAATATTTTAATGGGGTCCCCCATTATTTTCATTGGGGCACACTTTATTTTTTAATATTAATGGAGTATATAGTATTAAAAAATTAGAAAGTCATTGGGGGCATGTGCCCCCATTAAGGCATTAACAACAACATACGTCAACCCCTCACACCTAGAAACCCTCCTAAAATTGAAGGCTCCCAAGAATCAAATTCCACTTCTTTGTGACCCCTTTTCGAAGAGGGCTATTTAGTTGTTTTTTTATATAACTTTTTCTTTATTTTATATTTTAAATTTAATTTTCTTCATATATCAGTCCATCAAGCCTTTTCAACCATAAGTGATACAAAAAAAATATATTCATTATATTCAGCTAATTTATCCAACTTCAATGTTACCAAAGGTGATACAAATAATAATTACGGAGTATTGTTTAATAATGAATGTAATGCTTAAATACCACGAAGATGTTAAAGTGCATTTCCCAAAATAAGAAGTGATCATAGCGGAATTTTGTTCGACAACAAGGGAAGCCAAAAGGTTATTTAGCGTAAAATTTACATAGTAAAATAACCTACATGGGGGGAGCTCCAGAGTAAGCTATGGATCCTCCCGAATAAGTCATACTTGATAAATAACCACCTACTCGTATGAAACCGGAGAATGCTGGCATGACATCCTCAAAACTTTCTTCATAAAACTGTGGATGAAGGCCATCAGCTGCACTCTAGACATAAGCAGGGATGCAATGTTATTGTATTTCTATTTACTTGACACCATCTCTTTGATCTTCTTCAAAGCCACAATGCCTCAAGTCATCTTCACTATATATATATTATTAAACTCTTCTAGGCATAATATAGTATCCTGCCATGGGAACAAGGGTAAAACAGTGAGGACAGAAATTCCCTGAATTTACTATTGTTAGAATCAAGGAATTGGTTGGGGTTACTGGACTGGACCATAAGGCACTTGACTCAAAACATGCCAAAAGATTAAAATATAATCTACATAGTACTCCGTATTAGTTAATTCAATCCAAGGTCTTATTTACCAACTCATCATTTCCTCGTATTTTCTCATCTGCCATCCTAACAATTATCTTGACACAAAAAGAACAGGTTAACTTTGAAGGCAACAAATTACCAAGAAGTCTCCTAGGAACAGAATGAGCAACACAAGAAGCAGGAAAACCACTGTTTGGGTGCAACAGCCACTTGCTGCTCAGATTGAGGGTTCTGCAACGATTCACCCTCTTGCTCAGACAGTATTAAAGACTGAGGTGGCTGCTTTTTGTCTGGCCTTACCTTTGCCGAAGTGTTTTTATCTATGTCCCCTGACAATCTTTTTCAAAAAAAAAGAAAAAAATGATTTAGCCACAGATGTATATCAACACTATTGAGAAAACAACAGACATCTATGTTGTAAGTTCGTAACACATTCTCCTAAATTAAAATAAACTGTAAAGTCCTACTCCATCCGTGCGTTAATATTTGCTCCAATAATTAACAGAAAAGGAAAGAAAGATGAGAAGGTGAAGGTATCCGTGCATTTTGATAGGGTAAAACTTGACAAAATAAAAAAAGTGGAGCAAATACTTAAAAAAACTGTTAAAAGAAGGAATATTAGCTAAATATATCCTCAACTATCATCAAATTTACAAACTTATCCAATACTTTCACTTTTTATTAAAAAAAGACTCAAACTTCATATGACACAATTACACTTTCAATGGATGAATTAGTAAAACTTAAGAAGAAAATCATATTTATATTTTTTTCAGTTCTTTCTAGTTTAAGTTTACAAACTTGTATTGCTTATGTCTTATTGGTATTGCTAAAATGTGTAATTTTGGAAAAACAAAAAAAGAAAAGCATAATTGTTGAAAAAGATGAACTTTGAGTCTTTTTATTTTTCGACAAAAGTAAAAAAATAGGATAGATTTATGAATTTGATTATAGTTTGGGATAAAATAAGCTAAATCAGAAATACATATAGAGTATTAACTAAGAAAAAACGAGCAACGAGATAAGATGGAAAACTTTTAATGCAGGACCCAATTACATTGGGAATGCAAAGGATCTTCCACTGGCCCCACTCTCATCAGAGTAACGAGATGTCCGCCCCTCAACACAACATTTTTCATTATTTTGATATTTACTGTCCCTTAAGAAATCTCTCATGGATGCCTCTGCTGCATCTATCCCCCCACCCCTAGCCAACTCAGTTATATGGCTAGATGACGGCCTCACTGGAGAGCAACTTGCCTCAGTAGCGGGGCCCTCAGAAGCTTCTTCATGTTGACAAAGCTCTTCAGAGTCCCACGTGAATTGATCTCTAGAAAAACTTGAATGATCCAGCTGGATACTGAATAGTGATTCATTGGACCCCATGCTCCATCCCAGTTCCTTTCTAAACCTCCCTTTACCAGACAAAGAAGATGGAATCCTTTGTGGCTCATCCGTAGGACGCTCCATTACTTGGGTTGATGGTGATTCTGTGGTCAATAAGTTGCTAGAATCTTCCTCAGGAGTTAATTCATATATAGAATCACTCTCAGAGAAAGAACTATCAAGTGGAGTGTCAGGAGAAGAGCAATTAGAGGAGAATGAACCGCTCAACTCCTTGCATGAGGAGAGAATATTGGTTCCTCCAACGGGTTGCTGAGTTGTCGATGTCTTTACGCCATTACCAATGTCATACTGAGGTTCCATAGGTTTAGCTGACTGAGCTGATGCCTTTTGTAATGGTTCCATACCTTATCTTATCACTGAAAATTATACATGAGTTAGTAAGACATAACTTGGTTTATAATGAGATTTTATCATTGACATGGGTCAAACTACACTAGTATATTGAATCCAATGGTTAGTTAGTCTAGCCCAAGACATTATAAACCCATACATCTTTGTTTAACATTTCTATGTGGGCTCTAGTGTAACCAACCCTGAAATTCTAGTTTTGTGCTATTCATCATGGACATTATTCTTTTACTGTAGCAACCTAGGTGACATGAGTCATTTGGGGGGCGTTTGGCAGTCAAAGTGTAATCAATCCACTTTCTTACATCCACTCCTGTCATCCACTTTCCGTGAAAAGTAAAGAATATAAAGCTTAGTTTGATCACATTCCACACAAGCTCTATATCTATTCGTTTTCTGGAAAGTAATTAGTTTGAGACCTTGAGTAAATGCATTCCAACATCCCATTATGAGAAATAACCTCAATTCGCATATTATTCTTTCAAACTAGGACAAACACCTGCAGTTTGCATTAGCAAATTCAACCTGATTTCATTTTCTTCTTTTAAGAAGCATTTTCAACCTGATTGCATGTTGCATCACGAGGTGTAACATGAACTGCAAATCACAAAGCTTTTCCATGAAATGGAAATTGACATTAGTCATGATTAAATCGTTACAATAAAACTCCACGGTTCAAGTTTCCAACAATTAGCGTATTTACTGCTAGGTACAATATGAAAAAAGAGGTTTGAAGCCTTAGATAGCACCCTAATCTTCCATGCTCAAACATTATACAATAAATACAAAGCTTTCAGAATTTCTTGACCCGCCAGTTTTACTGTTCTTGTACCCTATCATATTTGCCTGAAAAGTTTTATGTTGGACCCATCATCTTAAAATCCACCGTTTAAAAAAATAATTGTTCAACTTTTGTTTCCTTTTCTGCTCCAGTCATCCACCACCTAAAATTACCATTAAAACGTTCAACTTTGTCCTGTTTTTATCAAATTGTATTAGCGCATCAAATCAACGCGCTCTAATATAATATGGGAAAATGTTGAAGATTGTAAATAGTGCGGACGGGGCCAGGGAGTTTGAAGAAGAATACCGGCGGAGATGTGGGCACCGGAAGCTGGCCAGGAAAACCAGCTAATGAGGGGCCCTGTTGAACAGCCGAATCAGCTGCAAACCGATCCGCGCAGCTCCCGCATTTGGTCGACGTTTCCAAAAGCTGCGCAGAAACTGATCGATGAAATGCCAGAGCCGGAGTGTGCCTAAAAAAGAGGTCACCGATTCAGCACAAACCGGTTGAGAAGCCACCGAAATACAAGCTGAACTCTTTCGTTTTCAACCGTTAAACTCGCGCGCGCCTTTTCTTTTCTTTTTTGCTTAAATTAAAGGGGAGCTCTTCGGTAGGAGAAGATGTTTTGGTACATTCAACGTTTGGCATCATCCTATTTGATATTCGCTCCACGTCAACTATTCCCTTTACTAAAAAACGAAATTGCAAAGTGATCCTTGGACAAGTTAACGTTTGCCAAATTTTATCACTTCTAAAATATTCATTCATTACGTACTGCATTAACGGGTATACAATATTTCACCGTTATTTGCTTGTCTACTTTTGTTCTACCTAGGGGTGGGCAAAAATACCGAACCGGCATGATACCGAACCGGATCGGTATGGTACCGGATCGATAAATGGGGTTTGAAACGGATCTCAAAAATTTTGTCCCGAACCGGTTCCAAACAATGCCATGACCGGTTCTCATAAAATGAGAACCGGTACTGGACCGAACCGGACCGAAGTATGGTTTATTAAATTTGTACTACTATAGTTTATCTAAAATATACTATCGTATTAATTACTTCATCCGTCCCAAATTGATTTGCAAAGCCAACATTTTTTTGTCAAAGTTAATGTTAAATTCTTGATAATTAATAATCCCTCCGTCCCAATATAAAAGGCACATTTGCATTTTACAACATTTTAAGGAGAAACACTGTTTGACACTGTTAAGACATTGTTTGGCACTGTTTGGACACTGTTTGGACACTGTTTGGCACTGTTTTGCACTGTTTTGTTTGCCAAAAAGGGAAATGTGCCTTTTATATTGGGTCGGCCCAAAAAGGAAAGTGTGCCTAGCTTTTATATTGGGACGGAGGGAGTACAATTTTTAATAATTAAAATTTACATATTTAGAAACCACATTAAAATCTCTCTAAAGTTGCAAAATCCAAATTAAAATATACGAAGTACGGAGTAGTTTTTTTTGAAAGGCCAAATTAGAATGTAATTAAAAAGTGAAATTCTAATTAAGTGAACAAAAAGAAATTGTTTGACCAAAAAAAGATTGACTTTGCAAATCAATTTGGAACGAAGGTAGTATGATACTATGTATATGAAAATTGATAAATTGTGTAGATTTTTGGAGGATGGCTAAACTTTAATTTTTTCTTAAACACCTGGAAAAAGTGGCATTGTTTGGTATTGGTATGGCATGGTACCGTCCCGTTTGAAAATGGACCGTACCGAACGGGTTTGGGTCTAAGACCGAACCGTACCGAACCGTTTCAATAGTAACGGTACGGGTATGGGTTCGGCCAAATATTGGACCGGACCGGACCGGACCGTGCCCACCCCTAGTTCTACCGCATACCTCATAAATTTCCTTTTTTCCATGCTTAAAAATATCATTTTGTTTTTAAATTAGTAGCTTGTTTCTCATTACTAAGAATTAAGAAAGGAAATGGGAGATAGATTTCGAGTTCTATCTCCATCTCGTTTGTGCTTTTCTTTCCTTTCTGCGTCAGGTTCAAAGTGCTCACAATGAAATCATTCCAGAGAGAAAGTAATGTACACTACGATCTCTGTCTTGATCTTCCTTGTATGTTATCATCTCCCTTTGTACAGTTGCACTTTATTCTCTTCTTTCCATTACTATGCTAAGAAATTCATAAACCAAGAAGAGTGATAAAGAATTTCAATAAAAACTCATATTTCTAAATAATATACATCAATCAAAAATCAACTTTACAATTAATCAAAACTTGTATAAAAATCAATAATGAATACAAAATCATTAATTGAATTGTATTTAAGAAACTCGTAGATGCCTAGGTGAATTTTAATTAGCTTACTTGAAGTCTTGAACACATCTATGTCACTATATAAATCAACTAAATAATACTCCGTAAGGCATAATAAGACATGTTACAGACAACAAAAAAGATAGATTTGAGAGAGAATAGTAACAAAAAAACAGGAGTTTGGTTGATGTGAAACTTGCTTAGCAAGAGCTATTTTAGTGTAACACTAAAATAAAAGTCTTGCTTACAGTATTATTTTAATGTATATATGGCCCATAGATACATAATATTGGATGCCTGTTATTCTTTCTTCAAATAGGGGCGTTGTCATGGAGTTTGGAAGTGCCCTATTGTGACTTCTGAACTTTGTTATGCAACTCTGATCTTAGTCAGGTAAAGATTATTGAAGTTGATAACAGCGTGCGTGAGGATCCAACACTTTTGTAAGTACTTTTGAGACACTCCAGATTCTCAAGAGAAAAGGAATTGAAGCTCGTATATGTTATTCAGATTCTGTTAGTTTAGAAGAACATTTTTTTTTTACTTTCATGTGCTTGGTTTTGAAAAACATTTTATAGGAAAGACTTCATTTGCATATCAATAGCCACATAAAAATTGAAGCTGGAAGCGACATAATCTACCTATCAAGTGTCATTGCATGCAATTTCTTCATATTGGGCGTTTTTTTTTGCATTTCAGGCATATTTTTGTGCAAAAATGAACATTTTGTTGCTGCAATTTTTTCTTTTTGTCATAGCAATTTTTACAGCATATCTTATAATTTTTTTTCTTCATTTGATACGCAGGCCGTATCTGGAGACTAAGACAGCTTATTTTTGCATGGTAGGCAGATTTTTTCTGCAAAAATCAGAATGTTATTGTGACGAGCACTTTGTCAAATGTAACTTTGGTTAAATTTTGATATGCTTCCTAATTATTTGTATCATCTCTCAAATGTATTTATGTAGATTTTTTTAAATTTTGTACTTGGTGTCATATTTATACGGAATATGTATTTTCCATTTAAGCCATAATGTATTTTATTTTTAGTCAAAACCAATATACTTTGGTATAATAATATTTTTATTTTTCTTAGGTTTTAGTATCTTTTACTCCGTATTTAATTATGGAGTATAATTTTTCTATTTATGAGGTAAATACTCCGTGAATTTGTAGATGTTAAATACTCTGTGATGTTTTTTTTTTCATTTATCTGATTTTCAATATGGTTTGGTGTAATAAATATTTTTTTCGTCTAGGGCCTCCGAAATTCTCAAGCCGCCACCGTACGTAGTATAGGTGAAGTAGAGTTCGTATCCACAGGGAAATGAATAATTGTCTTTTTATGTAACTAGTAAATAAAGGGGAGTTTTGATTGAGTGATTTAATTAAATTAAACACGAAGATGAACGACTTATATGAGATTAAATTCAAGAATAAAAAGGAATTGGCATTGTGACTTTCCACTTGTTGATATATTTTAGTCGATCATTGTTATATCTATAATTTGTCCCCTCTCGAATACTCAATCGAGGAGTATATCCAATTCATCGAGGGTAGTTATTAACAACGACCGTTCATTAATAACCTTTACTATTAGTCAAGTATAGAACACCGCCATATACCGACTTGATAGTAGCTTTTAATCTCTTAACTCCTTGATGAAATCAATTGAGATTGATAACCTCAACACAACGGTTTTGGTTTAACCAACAAAATTAATCCCTCTTAAGTTTATTAACCACGACCGTGCATTAATAAACCAAAGTTACTTACTTGTGAAACCATCAACGATTAACCATCGGTTCGTTGATCGTTTCTAGTAATAATTAATATATGAAACAAAACTAGTTGATCCTTTAAGTAATGTTCAAAATATTAATATGAAATATGAATAGGAATTAATTAATACTCAAGGAAGAATATTAAAGAAGATAAATCCTAGTATAGTTAATATCAAGATGTTAACTAATTGTCATCTTAGCAACACTCCCCAATATTAACAAAGAGGAAGAAATAACTATTACTATAACTAATGTCAAGATGTTAACTAATTGTCATCTTAGTAACACTCCCCAACATTGATATAGAAATTATAGTATTTAAAAGAAGAATTAATATTCAAGGAAAGAAGTTAAGAAAATAACTCACAACTTTAATAATCAACAAACTTCAACAGCAACACCAAGAAATGAGAGTTTAGCTCCTCATTTGGAGACTAAACATGCTAGAAAAATATAAAGAAATACTATTCTAAACTGAGCTTAGAAGTGTAAAGGAATTGGTGTCTAATTGTGAAGGGAAGAAGGTGTATTTATAGGTTTTTTGGGAGTGCAGCTCGGATACCCGATCGAGTACACATAGGGTACCCGATCGGGTATGTGTAAAAATGTTAATTCATGGCATACTCGATCGATTTCAGAGTGGAAATAAAAGGCATACCCGATCGGGTGTGTCGGTGTACCCGATCGGGTATGACAACTGAGCGTGGCCAAATCTTCCCCTGCACGCCCATTTGTTTCCTGATTGATCTGATTGAAAGTCAAGTTGGTACCCGATCGAGTACATGGTATACTCGACCGGGTACAGGTCATAAATCATGATTTAGCCTTCTTTTTGTCTTGTACCCTTGCACCTTCCTTCACCAATGATCATTTGATTGATCTTGAACCTGTTTAAGCTCAGAATAAACCTAATCTAAACATATTACAGCAATTTTACAAATATAACTATTACACCAAAAGTGTGTAATTTCCGAAATATTAAACAACCAAAAGTAGTTTAAAACACAAACATACACACGGAAATTACACGCGTATCATATTGCTACAATTTTTTTTCTGCTTTTGACAACAACACCTTCACACATTCTTTAGCGGTTAAGGCGACCTTTTTGCATGTTAGGATATTTTTCTGAAAAAACAGAATGTTATTGCTGCATATTTTTTCTGCATTTCATAGCACTTGTCCTGCATATTTTTAGTTGTTTCTCTGACCTGTTAGTAGCAGAGAGTATCTACATTTATTGTAGAGAATTTATGCATACTTGGACAGTTTTTTCTTTTTTCTTTTTCATTCTATTCGCTGATAGAGTGAATTTCCCAGTTCTCGTCATTCGTCTCGCTAGTTGCCCAGGTGGTTCCATTTCAACACAAAAAAGCTTTATTCTTTTCATTTGAAAGTGTAGACTCAAGAAGGATTGTTTTGTTTTGTGAATACAACTCAATTGTATCATTGTATGTTACTACAATTTCTTAACATCTAATATTCTAGTACCATTATATTTGATACAGATCTAATTGAAAAAAAAAATCTCAAAAGCCCACATGCTTGAGACAATTTCTCATGCAATGCAACACTCGGTATTAATG